ATTGTGGTGGTAGTCTTTGTGGTCATGTTAAATATGTATGTGTGTGGGGCTCTCTACATAAATATACAACCATCAGCATCAACACCACAAAACATAACCCAAAAAAAGGTCTTAAATTTTCAGAGAATTTAAGGTGACAAGAGAAAAATTTAAAGGGCAATTGGAGAGAAAAGAAAAAAATTTCTCTCCACTTGCCCAAGGCTATTTTGTAATGGGAAATTCCCACTGGAATTCATTACCCTAATGCTGGCGATAAATTTTTACAACCCCATTTGGCTTTGACCAAAAACATTTTCGCCTTTTAGCCACAATTGGCCAGATACAAAAACACTCAAGCGCTCCTATCTCTCTCTCTCACACACACACACCCATATCGACAACGACTTCAGATAGCCACGAATTAGCCCAGTATTGAGTGATTTTCAATGGTTTCCCTGCTGATAACAACAAAACCAATAGTCCTTTTGAAATTCGCATTTCAAGTTGGGGCGCACAAAAGTCAACACCACACGACAGCATTAAATGAAAACATTTTTATGGCAATCTTGGAAAAATATATAAATCGAAAAATTCTGTTATTGAGAAAGCGTATAAATCTCTAGGCCACCACAATGCTTGGTCGCAGCATAGAAAGCATTACAAGGAATTTCAAAGGGATTTCAAAGAGGCTTTAGAAAAGCACCTCTAACATCCAGCAGACCATAGAAATTGCTCTACTCCTACTCGTCGGAAAATAGGGCGTTTGACCATAAAGTCCACTGCAACCCATCATTTATTATGACACAGAGAGAAAAAAATAATTTAGATAAGCAAATTGTTTAACAAGAAATTGCTAAGATTTATCGGCAGCAATATAAATCAATGCTGAGAGCAGCTGCTGCTGCTGCCCATGGATAACAAGAAATTGAGGTTTGTTTACACGAGGGCAGAAAAATACAAGTCGCTTTTTTAATTACTTCTATGGAACGGGGGAGGGATTAAAAGGATATAAAGGACTGTGAAACTTCATGACGAGGTGAAATACATTTCCGCAAACCGAATCTGGGTTTTTGGAATTTTGTATTTTAGCTATGGTCACAGGCTATGGGATTCAAAATTAAAAGTTCCATGTTGCCTTGAAAGAATGTTAAGAAACAGAATTTTTATTTATTTGTACCCGGTTGCGTATAACTAATATTAATTATTGGGTTATTTTGGAAAAATATTCATAACTTCTACAATTGTTAGAATATTTGATTGTTTTGTATGGTGAATGAAAGCTAAGACTTCAGGAAACAAGTTCTGCTTTAGAGGAAAATAAAGAAATTTATTTCTTTCACCCGAATTTGCTATGAAACTTTTACTTAATTGAGTCAATGAAATTATTGACACTAGGAATATATTTCCACCACAAGAATTTGAGATTTTGGAATTTTGTATTTTAGCTACGCTAACAGGCTATGGGATTCAATATTAAAAATTCCTTGTTGCCTTTAAAGAATGATAAGAAACAGCATTTTTAATATTTGTACCCGGTTGCGTATAAGTAATATTAAATATTGGTTTATTTTGGAAAAATATTCACTACTCCTACAATTTTTGGAATATTTTATTGCTTTGTAGGGCGAATGAAAGCTAAGACTTCGGGAAACAAGTTCTGTTTTAGAGGAAAATAAAGAAATTTATTCCTTTTATATGAATTTGCCATAAACTTTTATATTATTGAATCAACGTTATAGTTGGGAACAAAAATATATTTCCGCCAGAAGAATTCGAGATTTTGGAATTTTGTATTTTAGAAGTACTCATCAGTTGTATGATTCCATAATAAAAGATAAAAGTTGTCTCGAAATAATAATAAAAAAATAATATTTTTAATAATTGTCATAGTGGGCGTATAAGTAATATTATTTTTTGTGTTATTTTGGAAAAATATGCATAATTTCTACAATTGTTGGAATATTTTATTGTTTTGCATGGCGAATGAAAGCTAAGACCTCAGGAAACAAGTTCTGCTTTCGAGAAAAACAAGGAAAATTTCTTCTTTCGCAAGAATTTGCTTAAAACTTTTGTTTAAATGAATCAATGTAATTATTTGGCACAAGAAATATACTCCCGGTACAAGAATTTGAGATTTTGGAATTTTGTATTTCGGAAGCCCTCATCAGTTATGTGAATCAAAAATAAAAACATCAACATGTCTCACAAAAATATTAAAAAATAGTATTTTTGATAATTGCCACAGTCTGCGTATAAGTAATATTATTTCTTAGGTTATTTTAGAAAAATATTCATAGTTTCCACAATTTCTGGAATATCTTGTTCATCTGTATAGCCAATGAAAGCTAAGAATTAGGGGAAAAATTTCATTCTTAAAGGAGAGCTACAAAACCTACATAATTCATATGAAGTTGCTATATAACTATATATATTTTTTTTTTTTTTTGAATTAATCTAATATTTTGACAAAAAATTATATTTCCGGCATAAGAATTTCAGATTTTGGAATTTTGTATTTAAGATATATTCGTCAACTATCCGATTCAAAGGTATAAACATGAAACTGTCTCGAAAAAAAATCAAAAATTGTATTTTTAATAATTGTATCAGTGGGCGTATAAGTTATATTATTTCATGGGTTATTTAAGAAAAATCTTCATAGTTTCCACAATTTTTGGAATATTTCATTCATCTGCATGGTTAATGAATGCTAAGAGTTCAAGGAACAATATCATCTTTGGGAAAAACATCGAAATATACATAGTTCGTATCCATTTACTACACAATTTCGAATTTTTAATTAAATAAAATGTAAAAAATACAAAATAACTGCGGCATCACGAACATAAATGCTCTAAAAATTATTTCCTCCAAAATAAATTGATTTTTTTAAATTTTGAATTTTAGATAAAATTGTCAGCTTTGCGTTTCAATAAAAAATTCAAAATAGTCTTTGAAAATCATTAAAAAATATATTTTTTACCTCTTTGTGCCAGGGTGCGTATAACTAATATTAATTATTGAGTTATTTTAGTAAAATATGCATAACATCGGTAATTGTTGGAATATTTTATTGACCTGCATTGCAAATGAAAGCTAAGACTTCGCGGAACAATTCAGTCCTTAGAAAAAATAACAAAATATTCATAGTTCATATGAAATTTATATTAAAACTACGTCTTAATTGCATCAACTTTCGAGTTTGGTAACAAATTATCTCCTCTACACAAATTCGATATATTGAAGTTCTGTATTTTAGACGAACTCATCAACATGCAATAAAATATTAAAACAATTAAAGTTGCCTTAACAATTTTTAAATTAAAGGCGTTTTAATAATTTTCCCAGGGTGCGTATAATTGATAGTAATTATTATATAATTTCAGTAAAATAGCTCTTACTAATGTCGAAGCATTTTAGAGATCTGTATGGCAAATGAGAGCTGAGACTTCGCGGAACAATTTCCACTTTGGAAAAATGGTTTATATAGAATGTTTACAAAACTTCGTCTTAATTGCATCAATTTTGTTGTTGGGGAAAAATAATCTCCTCTACACAAATTCTAGATTTTATATTTTGGACTAACGCTTCGATGTACAATCCAAAATTAAAAAAAAAAAATAATAATGTTGACTTTAAATTCTTAAAATAAAGGATTTTAAAAAATTGTCCCAGGGTGCGTATAACTGATATTAATTATTGAGTTATTTTAGCTATACCTTCATAGCTCCCACAATTGTTGGAATATTTTAGTCAACGGCATACCACACGAAAGCTTAGACTTCTAGGAATAATTAGTTCTTTTTGTATTTTAGGTGTACTCATCACATATGCAATGAAGTATTAAAAATTTAAAAATTCCTTAAAAATTATTATTCAAAAATATTTTAAATAATTGTCCCTGGGTGCGTATGACTAATATTATTTTTTGGGTTGTTTTAATAAAATATTCATAGCTCCTCCAATTAATGGCATATTTTATTCATTATTATGGCAAATGAAAGCTTAGACTTTTGAGAATAACTCATTCTTCAGGAAAAATAACGGAAAATATATGGTTCGTATGAATTTCTATTAAAAATATTTTGAATTATTCATTTATTGCATCAACTTTGTGGTAGGGTAAAAAAATATCTCCTCTTCGAGATTTTGGAATTTTGTATTTAAGATGAACTCATCAGTTATTCAATATGATATTAAAAATTTAAATTTGCCCTAAAAATTATTTTAATAAAATGGTTTTAATAATTGTCCCTAGGTGCGTATGACTAATATTAATTTGTGGGTTGTTTTAATAAAATATTCACAGCTCCTTCAATTAGGGGCACATTTAATGCAGTCATGTGGCATATGAAAGCTAGGACTTCAGGGATAACTTTCGTCCTTTAAGAAAATAACGAAAAATACAGAGCTCATAATACATTTTTACATTAGTCATAAAATTATTTAATTAGACTCCAATTATTTCTATTATAACTTTTTGTTTAAAAAAAAAATATATTTTTTTCTGCAAAAAATTAGATTTTTGGAATTTTGTATTTTTGATATGGCCATCAGATATACGAAAGAAAATTTAAAATTAGTAATTTCCTTTAAATAATAATAATATGAGTAGTTCGTAGTAATCGGCCCATGCTGCGTATAAGTATTTTAAATTATTGGGTTAATTTAGTAAAATATGCATAGCTCCTACAATTGTTGGAATATTTCTTTCAACGATGTGGCAAATGAAGGCCAAGAATCTGTAGAATCATATTCTTTTTATTTTGATAATGATAAAGTGGTACATTCAGCTTCATTTCTTGTAGAACTTCTTAAATATATTTCTGTCACAAAGAAAATTATAAAAATTTCAAACAAATTTTACAGGATTTCGTATCTATGAAACCTTGTGTTTTTATTTGAGGCTGATGACATTAAGCCCACCGGAAACACAGGCAGTGAATTTATTTTTTGGGTCATCAGAGAAAGGAAATTAAAAAAAAATATTTAAATAAGTTTCAAGTCTCTTCTCTACTTACGTTGTGAGTTGGAACGACGTATGATATTCTCCAGGAATGTGTTTTGTGGAGCCACTAAACCTCTTCGACCACCCGGCATTTTGATAGATGTGTCAGGTCTACTTTTTTTCTTTTGGGGTTGACTTTTAGTTATAGCTAATATTTTGTTTTAACTTTCTTAAACTTTAGTTATTTGTTGTTATCCTTTTGCGCAAGGATATGATTTTTTGCTTGTTATTAATATATTTTTTTTGGATTACTAATTTCAATTTTAAATTAAGTTGGTGCCTAGCAATTGTGTACTCTACTAAGCTTTATTTATTTGCTATCACGGCAATGGCGAAATATTTCAGCTTCTCCAGATTGCTGCAGCAACATTGTAATTTGAAATTGTGTAGCAACATTTGACGCGGCAACATTGTTTCCATTAGCATCATTATCATGATTATTTTTATTATTATTATCATCAGTCTTAATTATTAAATCATAAGTATACATTTTTGTTTTAATATTGTTGTTGGTGTTTTTTGGGGGGTGTTTTACATTTCTAGTTTATCATCATAAATACTAGTCCAACAGCAACCAGTTGTAGTTCATATTTATGCAGCATATTTTAAGGCTGTTGATAAAGCGTATATAAACTGTAAAGAGAAGAAGAAAATATAAAATTATTTTACCATTTATTTATGGAAAATTTATGTTTTCAGAATTTTGTATTTTAGACAAGGTCAGAAGGAATGCAGGGCAATAACAAAAAATTGTAATTTGCTTTTAAAAATATGGAAATAAGTACAATTAAATATTTTTTCCAGGGTTGCGTATAACTAATATTAATTATGGTTTATTTTGGAAAAATAATCATAACTCATGAAATTCTTGGAATATTTCAATAACCAGGATGGCAAATTAAAGCCAAGAATGTATAAAATAATACTACAACTGAAGAGTATTTAATACGGAAAATAGGTTTTATAATAATTAAGTGTAAATCTAAATATTTTTGTATCAACTTGGAAAATAAATTTTTTGTTTCCACTCGAAAATTTTAATTACTTGCCATAATAGTTTGTATTATGGAATTTCGTATTACAAACGTGATTCAGGCTATGTGCTACCATAACAAAAATATAAAATTTTCAATGGAAAATATGAAAATTAATAAAATTAAACAGTTGCCCAGGGTGGCGTATAACTAATATTAATTATGCCTTATTTTAGTAAAAAGTTCATAACTTAGGCAATTGTTGGTATATTTTATTCCACCGAACGGCAAATGAAAGCCCAAACCCCGAGGCCCAATATCGTGTACAGGAAAAATAACGAGTTTACCAAAGTTCATATAAAATTTTGATAATATTTCCAAAATATGAAAATATATTAAACCATGAATGGATTTATTGGAAATTAATTATGGCTTATTTTAGAAAATTTTCATAACTCATGGAATTTTCGGTATGTTATATTCAACAGAACTGCAAATGAAAGCTCAAACCCCGAGGCACAATAGGGTATACAGTAAAATTAGTGAGTTAAACAACGTTAATATACAATTTTGATTAAACTCTTGAAATATATTTCCGAATTATGAACGCATATTTAAACCTTGAATGAATTTATGGAAATTGGTTTCTAAACATATTGAATTTGAAAACTATTTTAAATTAAAAGAATATGGAATTTCAAAACAATTTCCATGCCACAAAATTAGTTATTAAAAATAAATTTACTGGGAAATTTATTATTTTACATATTTCCAAAATGTTTAGCTGTTAGCGTAAAATTATTAAGTTATTTGGGTAGAATACTCAGAACTCGTATATTTTTGTATTATCTATTAAACGAAACCGCAGATGCGAGCCAATAATATACTGAAAAATACAGCTTTTGGGTTAAATCTTTGTAGATAAATATTTCATATTGAAATTCCCTATAATTTGGAAACTATATTCCCTCTGCATGAAAATATTGTTTAAATTTTCCGTAATCGCTGATAGAATTGGCGTTTTATGAATTTTGTATTTTAGAGCTGTTTATAGCATGCGAGAAAAGTCGAATTGAAAAGTGAAATTGCTGTAAACGTCGGCATTGCAAAGATATTTTATATGAGTACTATAGTGCGTATGACTAATTTTATTTATTGGGTTATTTCAGTAAAATACTCATAGCTCATAAACATGTCGGAATATTTGGCCAAATAAGATGGCAATTGAAAGCTAAGACTTGTGTGGATAATACCAACTTTAGAAGATGTAACGAAGAATAAATCTATCTCAAGATTTTTTGAAATACCTTTTGAATATTTAAAATTTCAATCGAATTTTTTTAAAAAATCAAGCGAAAGTTAGATAAAAAAATATTGGCGAAGTTATGTATTAAAGAACTCTTCATCGGCTATTCAAAAATAAATTCGAAAAAAATTCCTGGCCATAAAAAATATTTAAAAAAAATAAAACTCTTGTAAACTCCGGCATTGCGAAGGTATTTAAGATGAGTACGAGTGTGCGTATGACTAATATTATTTATTGGGCTATTTCAGTAAAGTATGCATATCTCATAAACATGTCCGAATATTCGGCCTAATAAGATGGCAAATGAAAGCTAAGATTTGTGGTCATAATATCACCTTCAGAAGATATAACGAAATAATAATAAATCTCTAGATTTTTTCAGAAACTTTTTGAATTTCTAAAATTTCAATATTTTTTTTTAATCAAGCGATATTTAGAAAAATTGTATTACTGAATTTATGTATTAGGGAATTCATCAGCTATACAAAAATTTATCTGAAAATAATTTATAGCCATAAAAAAATTTGTAAAAATAACAGATTATTATTTTTTTTTCGGGTTGAGTATAATTGTTGTTAATTTCTCAATGAATTTCATAAATCAATTTTATCTAATTAATTTCTTTTATGCATTTTTTAAAGCAATGTGGCATTTTAAAGTCCAAACATTGTTCCTAAGATAATTTCGGTAAAACGCATCACTCATTACATTTTTTTCCAAGTCTTTGTAAATATTTTACTTTTACATAAACTGGAATCAATCTCAGATAATTTCTTAGAAAATTTTTATTCCAATAATTTTGTATTTTGGAAATGACCAGATAGTTTCCGAAACAAAATTAAAATTGTCGAAATGTTCTAAAAATAATTGAAATACAAGAATTTTAATATTTGTACCAGATAGCGTATAACTAATATTAATTATTGGGTTATATTGGAAACTCGGACGTAACTACTATATTTGTTGGTGTATTTAAATGCAAAGTACGGCATTTGAAAGGCTATGCATTGCTTAACAATTTGTGTTTTAAGCATAACACCAACAATTTAATAAATCACATGATCTCCTCCTCAAATTATAAAAATATACTTTTTTTTCGAAATCCCCAAATATATTTTGCGTGAATCGTGGCAAATGAAAGCCAAGAATACATAGAATAAAGGAATTATAGAGGAATTAAATTAAAGGAATTAGTTTATATGTTATTCAATGTTCAATTGCGGGAATATATTTTTGTAAAATGTTTCTTATTATATTTTTTCTGGACGTTCAATAATATTTTATAATAATCAGCAGATAAATTATTAACCGAAAATATCAAAACAAATATTTCCTAAACTATTTAAAATTTAAAAACATTAGATTTAAAAAAAGTAATTTTTATTAAATTTTAAGGGTCCATTTCTTATATTACAATTTTTTATTTTAGTTCTGATTTTAAGGTATGCGATTACATTTCAGAATTTCCCTTGGAAAAAACTAAAATAAGTAATTTTAAATTTTTGGTCTCCGGTGGCGTACGCCTACTATTAATTATTGGGTTATTCCGATAAAACGTTCATAACTCTTTTATTTTTTGGTATATTTCATTGAAAAGCATGGCAAATGAACGACAAGAATATGTAGAATAATATTGGTTTAAAGGAATTGTAGAGTAATGATTAGTTTATATTATATATCCCTAGAACATCGGGAAAATATTGATCCAACATAAAAATCTATTCATTTACGGTAATATATTTCTGTAAAACATTTTGTATAAGTTAGATACTTTGCCCCTCAACTTCCCTTGCTCGATCAATCACGGATGCTGATTGGCGCACAGGCATCTCCTCTACAACTCCCCTGGCGGAGACCGTAGTGAGCGGATCGTCGCTGGGCATTGGTTGTTGTCGGTAACCTCACCTTGTTACACATGCTCTCATTGGAAGTAGTTGTAGTTGTATTAGTAGACAGACATGAGATCCTCTGCGATCACCTAGAACCTCAGCGTTCACTTGTCTTTAGTCTTTGGAAGAATACCCAACACGGCCACTGTCGCCAACACACAACATTGAAAAGAGGTAAACTTATTGTAGAAAAAAACACATCAAAGCAATTCAATAAATCAGCAAATTTTGCAAGAAAAGAAATTAATACTGTTTGTTTTATTTTTCTTATTGTTTCTTTTCCCCCATTACTCTACATAAACATTTTGGTCGCATCGAGCCGGATTTGCCAAGTTGAGAAGTTTGCCTGACTATTAATTGCTGTTTTTGTTATCTCTTTTACAAAGGAATCAACTCAACAACACACATCCCCCCTCATAAATCGCACCACCGCATCAACATCATCATCCTATTCATCATCATCAACATCAAAAAAGGTACGTAAGTTCAGTGAAATTTGTTATTGTGAGCTTAGAGTGCTATTTATTTTGAAAAAAAGTGAAAAGTGTTAGTTTTTGTTTGCTTCGCGGTACTGGTCGCCTTTGTTTTACCCTAATTTGCGATATCTTTAAATTTACAGTCCACAACAATTTTATTTTGCTGAAAAATCTAAAGATTCCTTCAAATCGAGACGTATTCGCATTATTTTCCATTTTATTGCGAAATAATCGAATTTCCCGGTTAATTTGTGTTTAATAATTCGAATTTATCAAAAAGAAATATATTTCTGTTGATAAAATAACCTGCCGCTGTAGTGTGCATAATTTTGTTTTCGGTTATTGCAATATTCTCCACACATTTCTGCATTGTCGAGTGATCTCTTTTACATCTCACCAATTCGGTATTACTCTCAACGAGAATAAAATCACCACATTGCAAGTACCGCTTTTTCTAATTAACATACAAACATACCAACATTGCTAAATCCCCCCGTACCTCGCCCCAACACACACTGTTTGGTCATTTTCGTTGGTCTGTTTGTCTTGCCATTGCAATAACAATAATCCCTAAAATTCCAAGCGCCTTTTTCTAGCGTCAGTCTACTAACCAACAACTATAACAACAACTTATTTATTTCTCCAACTCTCACTGTTGGTTCGTCGTCGTTGGTTAGTTCGTAACGAGGCAGTTGCTTACCCACACACACTGAGCGCTCTGCTGACGCTGCTTGTGTTTTATTTTCTTTTGTGCGATATCCGTTGCGATCATTGTCGTCGGTCAGCTCGTAGTGTGGTAGATAACCCACCCCCGTCACCGTTCGACCATCAAACACTGCTTGTGTTTTATTCTTCTTTGTGCGGTATTCGTTATTCACCACTGCACAGTGGGTTCAAGTCGAAAAATTGTGAATTTTAAAAAATAAAATTTTGAAAAATAATTTGTAATTTGTTTTTGATAATATTTAATAAAAAAGTGTTTTTGGAC